AGTCACAATCATTTGCAGGAAGCATTTTCCTCTGGTGAAAAAAGCATTTCACAGTAAGGATTAATGTTCCTTCTTGTTGCATATTTACTCAGTTCAGGAAAACTTGTATAATCAAAGAACCCACCAAATGAGATATGTGTTACTTGAACCTCCAAAATCTTTATGGCCAGGGTCCTTTTATACAGGATTTTTGCAGAAGCCACAGATTTTCCAATCGGATTTTGCTGCATTTTCCTTTAATTCTCACATTTTCGCTCTTTTTATCATTAAAAAAACCAAACATAAAACAAAACAGAACAAAACAGCTGAAAAGCGCTCTGCAATGTTGCCTAAATGCAAATATTCTCTGAGCAGTATATAGCCCAAAGTTATATTTTCAAATACAATGGTATTCAGCATTTGAATAGTACTTTACAAATTTAAATTGCTTTATACATTAATAGCTTGAATTTTCAGACCTGTTGAATAACCACAACCTTAGCTGAAGGCAATGAGAGCTGCACATGCTCAGAACCTTTGCAAAACAGGTCATAACTCACTAATCACCACAACTGATGAGTTAGGTATTATCTTCTTTTTGCAAATGGAGAACTCTAATGCTACTTTTCAAATATATCTTGTCAAACTTGTAAAACTGATGTTATTTGGTGATATAAATAATCACAGTAAATACTTGACAATCGAGCAAATTACCTGATATATTTCTTATTATCACTACCTTGACCCCTACATATTATTCTTTCTAAGTTCCCAGGCCAAGCCTATCACCATGGTATCTGAGTACCCGTTTACATACGGATCTATTTCTAAGTGTTTAGACTTCAGTGGTGTCAGTTTTTAATCTAAGCCCCCAACCCACTAATTTATTTAGTACTTTAATCTGTTTATCTATTAAAGCTTATTCCACAAAGCACATGTTAAACTCAACAGAGGTGGATGTTAAGCAAGTGCTTAAGTGCTTTGCTGAACTAATGCCAAAACCATATACTGAAAATGCCCACGTAGATGGCCACTGAGGATTAATTAGACTGGGACTTTTCAGTTTGGAAAAGAGACAATTAAGGGGGGATATGATAGAGGTCTGTAAAATGATGACTGGTGTGGAGAAAGTAAATAAGGAAGTGTTATTTACTCCTTCTCATAACACAAGAACTAGGGGTCACCAAATGAAATTAATAGGCAGCAGGTTTAAAACAAACAAAAGGCAGTATTTCTTCACACAGCACACAGTCAACCTGTGGAACTCTTTGCCAGAGGATGTTGTGAAGGCCAAGACTATAACAGGGTTCAAAAAAGAACTAGATAAATTCATGGAGGATAGGTCCATCAATGGCTATTAGCCAGGAGGTGCAGGTATGGTGTCTCTAATACCTCTGTAATTGCCAGAAGCTGGGAATTGGTGACAGGGAATGGATCACTTGATGGTTACCTGTTCTGTTCATTCCCTCTGAAACACCTGGCATTGGTCACTGTCAGAAGACAGGATACTAGGCTAGATGAACCTTTGGTCTGACCCAGTATGGCCTTTCTTATATTCTTATATACAAAGTTCCCTCTCTATATCGCTCCCCTGATATACGTCTCCTGTGTTTTGGTTACTCACACCTCTGAATTCCCCTATGATAGTTACACACAGATAGTGTCTGACTTTCCTATAGGCCTTTTATCCTAAAGGATGCCGACATGCTTTTAAAATTACGCACACAGGAAATATACACATCTCTGCCACTCCGTACCTGTGGCTTATTGAGTCACCCCACCAACAACGCCTGCCCATTTGTCCCCTTCCCCCACAAATGTCTTTGTGCTTTCTTCCACTCTGCTACTTACATATAGAACACAATCCACACACTGATCCATAAAGCCACTACCTTCTCCCTCCTTAAGATACGCTTTGTCTGTGATGCCTATGGAAAACTGCCATCTGAAAATGCCCAGGTAGATTGCCAGTGGGGCTTGCTGATATCTGTTTTATTTATTTATTAAAGGATTCAGTACCATCAAGTTGTGACTGTAGCTAGTCTTTGCAGCCATGTATCCCTATCACTGTTACCCTTCTCCTTCTCCTATTCACTCCTTTTGGTTTTTTTTACACTTCTTCCATGACCGTGTCTTAGATTCTGAGCTTTTGGGGGGGCAGAGATCATCTCTTTCTACAGGTCTGTAGAGTGCCAAGCACAATGGGACCCTGTTCCTGACTAGGGACTTGGAAGATACTGCAATAAAAATAATAAATGGCAATAATGCAGTCATTTTCCAGTGGAATATGACAACAATTTAACAGAGCACAGCAGCAATACAAAACAATTCAGTGTAAGCAGAACACCATATACCTTTGAAACGGCAGGAAGAATTTAGGCAGAATGTAATTACCCAAATTGGAATTTTCCCAGGACAACAGGGCTAACATCTTTCCAAAAAGGTTCATTACAAAAACTGTCCGGAAGTGATGATCAAAATCTCAATTTCACATCACCTGACAGATGGTACCTGCAGCAGCAACTCCATACGCCAGCACCGTACTAAGGTGTTAGTTCAATACTTCCTTGGGGGGAAGAGCACCAATTAATGCATCACAAGTTCCTTTACTGCAGCCCTGAGTTTTCCTTAGAGGTCTCCCATAAAAGTGTTGACCAAGAGCAACCCTGGTCAGTTTATGAGTGCTGACACAATCGCTCTGTGAGGTGATGTGGAAGCAAAGCCTTTGCTATAACACACAGACACTCTCTCTCCCCCAAGAAATTGCTCCGAGAAAAGGTTTCAGGTATAATTTAACAAGACAGTTACATTTCCTGGACATAGCAGCCAAAGGGAGATTGCACAGGTGAAGTCAGGAAATCTCATCAGAGTCACTCAAGGGCTGTTGAACATGTTGAAGTTCAAAGAGCCATGTCATGGGGATTAAGCCTTTATGTCATTTCCATGAGAAATGATTGAAGAGTTTCATGTAATTTACAAGGAATCTGGATGGACATTGGAATACATTAAAAACGTAGTTGACTATGGTGGGCTGGGAGGTTGGTTCCAATTGGTGCTGGAGCAGGCAACTCTTATGCTTCTTGCATATGAAGTGATCACCTGCAGCTTTGGGAATAAATTCTTCTCCACAAGAGTTACAGCATTGCACAATTAGCTAAGTGCATTGTGGGTATTTGCCTTCCTATGAAATACTGGGCACACGTGTCACTGCCAAGGGCAGGATAAGGGCCTACATGGATTAATGTGCCCAGGTACACAAATGTATTTGGTTATGGTTATTAGTTCTCTGTATTATAGCAGCACTCACACTGTGCAAGGCACTGTCCACACACTCACTGCTAGGCCCAGCCCCTAGAGCTCTCAGTATTTGGTCTACACAAGTCAAGCAGAATTCCCCCAGTGCCTGTCTATTTACTGCCAGACACTCCACTCCAGCCCTGCATCCAGCCTCAGAGTCCAGGGGGATGTACATTCACTTTTCTTACCCTTCCCCGATCATCACCCAGCATGGGCCTCAGAAGCAGCCCCACTGCGGTCTCTCTTCTTCCACCATCACCACCTGATAGGGATAGCTCACCATGACTCAGTGAGGAGAACTGACAGAACTAAGCTGCCCCTAACCCAACCCAGAGGGGTAGCTGTGTGTGCTGATGAGTAACAGCGACCCAGGGGTCTGCTAGGAATGTAATCTGAGGCAACTGGAGCTGGCTTTGAGTGACTTGTCTGGCTGGGGTGGGGAGGGATTGTGGGGTGGCTGTAAATTCAGATGGAAAATGCAGGCTGCTCATATCACTGACTCTGCACTGCGCTGCAGGAGGATGGAGGGCTTAGCACAAGCAGCTCCAGGGGCCTCTTCTAGCAAGGGGAAGGGAATCATTCGTTCCCCTCCAACTTTTGGGAAACAGGGGGAAAGCGATTTGCAGAAACAGGTGGTTAAGAGTAAACAGTTCGGAGAGGTTCAAAGGCCTCGCCTCTGCTAACTCCTAACTCCCTGATCTACCAGCCACTTTCCTCGGGACACAAGTATGCAGGGACCAGGGTTGGCAAACGTCTGATTCTTCCCTTTTTCTGACTAGCTCTCTGGAGATCTGCCTCCCGGGCAGAGGACAATCCGAGAGAGCTGGGGGGGAGGGGTAGGGGGAGGGGAGAGCCATTGTTCTCTTGGGTCACATCAGGTCGCCACTTCATTTCAAACACCTTTGCCTAATTATCCACCGAGAGCCCACCCCTCCCCCCGCCCCCCTGCGCAGGAGCGACACTGATTTACAACAGGCCGGATGAAGCAGCAACCAATGGGCTCCCACACCTGTTCCGTGTGCGAGTTCTAGTCACTAGCCCAAAGTCTGGGCTGCGTGCATGGGGGGGGGGGGCGCACTTCCATAGGCTTTGCTCCACTGATTTCCCGTCCAAAACGGGCATTTCTATGGGACTGAACTTGTGCAGCACCCGGGTTTACTTGACCAGAGGAATGTTCTCTGTGGTGGCACCCCTCAGGCTATCTGCCCCTTCCAGCCTCCTTTGTGGGATTAGGTTTGGAAAGCCCAGGTAGCCCAGGGGAATGCCACTGGCTTTCAGATCAGGAAGAAAGGAATCTGAGGACCCAAGGAAATGCCTTCTGCCAGACTGTGTTGGGTGAGATGAAAGAGAGCATGGGGGACCCACCAGTGCTCGAGTCATACCCTCAGCGGGCTTTTATTATTATTATTTTTACCAGACTGAACGGTTTCATTCCCTTCTCCTCCTCCTCCTCATCTTCCTCCTGCTGCTGTGACTTTTGCCTGTATATTATCACACTGCAGGGCTGCAGGGCTCCAGCACATCCAAAGAGGCCATATCAGCATTAACCAATTCTTGTGAAAGCAAAAAAGTCCAACCAGCCAACAGACAGAACAAAGGAGCAACAAGGGAGATGGGGGAGGGGAGACTGGGACCCAGGAAAATGGTGTGATTTGCCTTAAGCTACTTTTCTTCTAGTGTGGTTTGGCAGGGGCTCGGAGGCCCCCTGTGCTTCCCCCTCCTACCTTGCAGTCTCTTATGCAGGATCTAACTGAATACTCTTCTGATTGCAAGTATTTCTCCAGCAAGAGGTCAAACTCCTCATATTTTTCCTGAGCGTGTTGGTCCAGCCTCTGATAAGCCTGGACGCAGCTGCTACACGCCTCTCCGTCCAGAGCACCGGCTGCAGCAGCCACGAAATCCACCATCAGGTTGTCCAAACTGCAATCCAAGCTGTCTGGGCCGGCCATGCCCAGCAGCAGGTCCCAGATCGTGTAAGTATCACAAAAAGAGAGGTTGAAGTTCCTAAAATAAGCCTTTAAGAAGTTTATTTTGGAGGAGGAAGAGGAAAAAAAAGAGGCTGATGAAGAGGAGGAGGAGGAGGAGGGGGGTGGCCTTAAGGGTACAGAAGGGAAAGAGCCCAAGAGTCGCTGCAAGGAATACAATTTGGTGCAAGCTGAGTCCAGATCGAAATGACCCCGGGCACCAGTGCAATATGGGATCGGAGCAGCAAATTTGGTCAAATTGCTTAAAAAAATCTCACACCTCCCCTCCTGTGACTGTTGATCCCCTGTCAGTAGGAAATGTGGCTGGAAGGCGCGCTGGCTTGCGTCCCCCCAAGGCGTCTGCATGGCTAAGCTCCTATCCTTGGATCTGAGCTTGGCTCCAGCACAGAGCCACAGATGATCAGAGAGGAGGACAGTGAAAAATAGAAGGGATGCCAGAGACATTCGCCATTTCTGTGCCCTCTCGGAATCAGCGCAGGGTTTGTCGTTTTGTCTTGGTGCACAACAAATTTTTAACACAGCGTCATCTTCTCTTGGATACATCCAAGCCCCCCTGATCATATTTTAGGGGCTGAGTGGGGGGGCTACTGCGGTCTCCGGTGTGGTTCTCTTTGCTCCTCTCCTCTTATAGACTCCCCCCAACAATGTCACCTACCTCCTCTGAAGCATGGTGTGATGATGGGCATCATTCTCATGGCTAGAAACAAGGAAGTGCCTTCCCCTCCTCCACCACCACCTCCACCTCCTCCTGGGCTGCTAAATGCTACCACCAGCCATTGCATGTTGCTGCGGGAAGAAAAATCAGCGCCACGGTCCTCAACATGTCCAGGCTGCTGTTCGCCAATGCCAGTCCATCCAGCGAGCCCCTCAGCCCAGAGCGGAGCCAGGCAGAAGCATACTCCTTCTCCCCACAGTCAGCGCTTGGCCCTCCTCATCCTCATCCTGCCGGGGTGCCTCGCCTCCTCTCCGCTCGCCTGCCTGCCTCTGCCCTCCCCTGCACACACAATCACGCTGCTTTCCTCTTTCTTTTTTGGTGGGCAACGTTTTTCCCGTTCCTGATCATCCTGGATCGGTGTCTCCTGTTTTCCATCCCCCCTCAAGCTGTCGCCATCTTCAGCTGTACAGAGAACACCTTGAGAAATTGATCGGGGGAGGGGGGGAGACGCAGGGGGAAGGGGGGAGGCGCGTGCGCGCTCCTCATCCCCTCTTCATCTACCCTGCAATTTGTTTTGTGCCTCCCCTCCCGCTAAACCCAGCCTCTCCATTCACTCCAGGGAGCCGTTCATTCATCGGATCCGCTCTTCCCAGCGTTCATTCAGGCGCCTTCCCACCCCCCGGCCCAGCTGAGCAGCTGGCGCACACACCGCGCTGGGATACTGGGCACGCGGCGCCGTCGCCGGGGGACTGGTCCCTGCTGCAGGTGGCCTGTGCTCCGCGCTCTCCCCCTGCGCCACGGTGGCTGGCGGTCCCCGGAGTTCATCCTGGGGGGGAGGGAAGGGGGCTAATGTCTCTATGCGTGTGCCACCGCGGCAGATCCTCCCCAGGCTCTCGGATCCAAGGGGCTGCGAGCCTCTTCTCTCCTCCTGCCCCCCGCCCCCCGCCCCCGCGCCTTGCATCTCCTCACTGAGCTGGAAGAATAAGTTGCCTGGATTCAGGAAGCAGGTCCCGGACCAAGCTGACATTGCTTCTGCGCGGGGCTCGCTCTGCCACAGGCGGGCTGCGGGGCTGCGCTCCTGGGGGAAGACGCGGGGTGGTGGGAACGGGCGTCGCTGGCCACCCAGGGGCTAGCAGGTGCCGTGGTGCTGAAGGACAGCTCCTGTCACAGCCCAGCCAGACCCAGCGGGGGACGGAGGGCCCCACAGCGCCTTCCCTGGCATAGTGGGGTGCAGGCGGCAGCCTTCCTGTCTGTAGCATCCCCCCCCGCCCGCCCGCGCTGGCTGGCAGGGTGCTAACGATTTGCTTGTGCACAAGTTTGGAAGCGCAGTGACATTGATCGGCTCTGGCCCAGCCCGGTTCCGTGTGTTTTCCCAGTAAACAGCGGTTTAGAGAGGACGGGAAATCCCTGGGAGCCATGATCGGGAAGGAATTCACAAGAGCTGACAAAGCAGGATGAGAGCTGAGCTGGAAGATCTGAGCTTCGTTACGTTTCTAAGGCTGGAGCCAGTTACCAAGAGCGGCGCATCTGCTTAATTCAGAGACACCAGCGCGCGGGTCAGAGCCGCGCAGGGAGCGGGACTCTCTGCAGCGAGGTTGGGTTAAGGCTCTTTAGCCTTCTCCTCCTTTCCGCCAGGAGCTCCCTCAATGCTGCCCTTCTCCTAACCCCCGGGAGCCTGCGGCGAAGCCCCAGCCGAGTCCCGGGCTCTTTCCGAGCCTGGCAAAGCGCCGCGGTTATTCCTGTCCAGGAGGCAGCTGTTCTGCACAGACACAGGCTTCGCGCTAACGGGGTCCGCGTGCACCCCCGGGTCAATCCCACCGGGCCTTGCTGGGTGTCCGGGCAGGACAGCCGCCGTTAGAGACGGCGAGCGGCAGCACGAGCCAGGCGTGGCTCCGTTTGGTACTGGCACACTCATCCCATTGTCTATTCCCATGTAACCAGCCCTGGGACTCTGCCCGGGAGGAGATCCCAGCGCATCCCAGCGAGCAGAGCTGTCTGGCAATGTGTGGCTCTTCACCTTGGCTAGGGGTAGACAATGCCCAGCGCTTTGCCTCCTGGCAGCACTGTAAGGGCTCCTGCCTTGTGGGTCACGCACTGGCCGGTGTCTGTGGTGACACCGGCCTCGGGACACCCTCAGTCCCAGTACTCCGACGGGGAGGTGACCGGTCTCTGCCAGGCAGGGGTTTGTTCCCATCCCTGCCCCAGCTGAACATCTGGGGAGCCAGAGCGGTGTTGCGGCACCCGAGCCCCATAGTTCTGTCTTCCGAGCAGGGGCCAGTGCAGGGGCCCGTCACTCCCAGAAGGAGAGACGCCCTCAGCCCTGCGAAGTGTCGGGAAATGAGCCCTCCCAAGAGGTGTCCCCAGTGTTCTGTCTCTAGGGCACCGACAGTCAACTCGGAATTGCCACTAAAATGGATGAAGAAACCAACTTTCAGGGAACGTCACTTGCTTGTGTCCCAAGCCCCGTTAACATTCCGCTAGGGATTTCCTGGGCAAGAGAAATGAACAATAAATAGAGCTCTGCAATGTGAAACCCTGCTGTTAATAGAGCAGCAGACAGTGCGTGCTCTGAGCCTGCCTTTCCAAACACAGATCCATTCTCACTCGCAGGCATTAACCTGGCTTGTGGGAACTGGTCCAAGTGTTCCTATTTCTGGGGCTTTCATCTGTATCCTGAAGTGAGTTACACTGAGTTGAGCCTGTCATTGCTTCCAGCTCTAGTAACATCCCTCCAGTTATACAATCATTTGCACTGGAGCTGCTCCTCTGGACCACCCCCTGCATTGCAGCCTGACTGATTCCTATAAAGCTAGCATGAAGGAGAGAGATACATGGGGCATCGCAAAGAAAAGGCACTAGCTGGCTCCATGACACGTGCTAGCAGCATGCAGAATAAATCCCTATTGCTCGCTCTTCTGTGCCCCGAAGATTCCAGACAAAGCTGTGTTCATGATACTCACATATCTGAGGGCAGGGCCGGCTTTAGGCCAATTCCACCAATTCCCCCAAATCGGGCCCCGCGCCTAAGAGGGCCCCGCGTCCAGTGGCAGGGCTGCCAGGGTGGGGGCAAGTGGCTGAGAATCCCTTCCCTGGCTAGAGGCTCCTTTTTAATTTTTACTCACCCGGCGACGCTCCGGGTCTTTGGCGGCACTTTGGCGGCGGGTCCTTCACTCACTCCGGGTCTTTGGCAGCACTTCGGCAGCAGGTCCTTCAGTGCCACCGAAGACCCGGAGTGAGTGAAGGACCCACCGCCGAAGACTAAGGAGCGCCGCCCGGTGAGTACAAGCCCCACGTGTTTTTTTACGTTTTTTTTTTTTTAGTCATCCCTGCCGGGGCCCCGTCGAAACTGTTCGAATTGGGCCCCGCACTTCCTAAAGCCAGCCCTGTCTGAGGGCATGGATTAGGGCAGGGGTGAGCAAACTACAGCCCGCGGGCCATGTCCGGCCCACGGGACCCTCCTGCCCGGCACCTGAACTCCTGGCCCGGGAGGCTAGCCCTCAGCCCCTCCCCTGCTGTTCCCCCTCTTCCGCAGCCTCAGCTTACTGCGCCGCCGGTGCAATGCTCTGGGCGGTGGGGCTGCGAGCTCCTGGGGCAGCACAACTGCAGAGCCTGGCCTGACCCGGTGCTCTGTGCTGCGCGGTGGCGTGGCTGGCTCCAGCTGGGTGGCACGGCTGCCTGTCCTGGTGTTCTGGGTGGCGCGGCTGTAGTACCGCCAGCCACCGGTGCTCCAGGCAGCGCGGTAAGGGAGCAGGGGGAGTTGGATAGAGGGCAGGGGAGTTCGGGGTGGTGGTCAGGGGTCGGGGGTGGGGATAGGGGTCAGGGCGGTCAGAGGGTGGAGAACAGGGGGGTTGAATGAGGGCAGGGATCCCCGGGGGCAGTCAGGAAGGAGAGGAGGGGTTGGATAGGGCAGTGGGGGGCAATCAGGGGCAGAGGTTCCTGGTGGTGGTTAGGGAGAAGGGGTGGTTGGATGGGGCAGGAGTCCCAGGGGCGCAGTCAGGAATGAGAGGAGGGGTTGGATGGGGCAGCGGGGGG